CAGATGCCACCTTTTATCTGCTTAACGGAAGATAGGCTGAGCGCGTGGCACTTGACCGAGTCGATGAACGTTGTTGGCGCCTAATACCATCTTCCCTCCACGGGCTGTTGGGGTGAATATGAAAGGGACTTGTTCTTTTTAAGTGAGACAAGGGGGAGGGACAGAGAGATGCGTCATTTTTGGGTGGTGAACCAAATCAGAGTGCCTACCTTAGTATTATTTTTCATTTTATATTTACTAAAGATCTGTGTTGCCCTGTGATGGACTGGCTCTCTGTCCAGGGTGTACCCCGCCTAACTGCCCATTGACCGCTGGAGAGAGGCACCAGCCCCTCCACGGACAAAGCGGGTTCAGACAATGGAGTGCGCTGAGTGCTGAAACAGGTTTAAATCGAAAACGTTCTGGATACTGGCCCTTCAGGACTGTAGAAGACATAACAACATGTAACTAATTTCAATCATCTAAAAGGTTTATTTGATTAAAGTGTGTCTAACGCATAGGGAGCTTAAGTCACGCCCATCTACTTCCGCATCATGGGTCCCCGGAAGAATGAAAAATACTGAACTGATAAAAGTTAAAAACTGGTTTGATATAAATAAATTAACACTTAATCTTAAAAAAACTAATTTCATTCTATTTAATGACAAAGAAAATATAGACGTAATATTAAAAATAGATAACATGGAAATTCAAAGGGTAAAAGAAATCAAATTTTTGGGAGTAATGATTGATGAAGCTCTAAGCTGGAAATCACATATAGGCTATATAAAAGGTAAAGTGGCCAAAGCCATTGCAGTATTATATAGCGTAAAGTTTTTACTAAATGGTGAAGGATTGTTATTACTATACAATGCACTGATTCTGCCATACTTAAATTATTGTGTAGAAATCTGGGGAACTGCATATAGAACGTATACACAACCTTTGTTTGTTTTGCAGAAAAGAGCAATGAGAATTATAGACAACACTCATAGTACAGCTCCATCTAACCCATTATTTATAAAATATAAAGTAATTAAATTTCATGATTTGGTCAACTGGAGAATATTGCATATAATGTATAAAGCAAATAAATGTACATTGCCAAAGAATATTCAGCATATATTTGAAAAGAGAGATAGCAGTTATTTGTTGAAGGGATTTGAAATCTTTAAAAAACCTAGATTTAGAACAAGAATGAAGGAAATGAGTATATCTGTGAATGGTGTGAAGTTGTGGAATTGCCTGGACAGAGAATGGAAAGAGTCAAGAACTCTAAAAGTGTTCAGTCTACACATTAAATCACGTGTGTTGAGTGGATATGACAACGGACAATTGATGTGGACACAATAATTAACAAATGTGAACAGTTACGGGACTGAAAGAACTGGTGAGGGACTGCACAAATATAAATTGATATTTAAGTTTAAAAAGGGGGCAGAAATAATAAGATTTTTCTTCTATCTGCTCCCTTTCATTCAAATATATATTGTGTTTTCATGAATATTGTTTAGTATCTGTTGTGTTATTTTTTATTGAATGAAATAAAGATATAAAAAAAAAAAAAAAAAGAGAATGCTCAATGGGGCTAAAAACGCTATTTTCTAATGGCTAATACATTTTCGTTCTTCCGGGGACCCATGAGCCGACCGGAGAAGAAAAGAGACTTAGGCTCCCAATTATATGACAACTTCACTTGCCATCATTCTCACAATAAGGGTCTACTTACAGCAGAGGTACTGTTTTCCTCACAACACCTGTTAGCGGGTTGCCTATGTGAATTAGTATTAGCGAGTCTAGCATGAGTGCTATTGCTAGCAACACCTTCTCGTAGCTTTATGTTATATTGAATTGGAGGCGCCTTTGACTTTGGCGGGTTTAACAGAAACCTTTGTGTTTGTATCATTTTTCTTTCCAGCGTTATGGATGCAAACATAAAAACCCAGAGAAAACCCATGAATGCATGAGAATACAGACTAATTTAACACAGAAATGACACACAGGCAGGATTCAATCCTGCAACCTTTTTGTTGCTTTTATTTATTTATTTATTTATGCTGTCAGGTCCCTGCTTACTTTAAGAATGCTGTAATCCACCCGCTTCTCAAAAAACCAAGTCTTGACCCCTCTCCCCATAGCAGCTTCAGACCCATCTCTAAAATTTTGTCGATCTCCAAGATCTTGGAAAAGGTTGTGGCTAAACAACTCACAGCTGCTCTTGATGAACGTAACATCTAAATGATATTCCAGTCAGGTTTTCATAGAGCTCATTCTACTGAAACAGCTCTTCTTAGGGTCTCTAATGACCCTAATGATCACCTGCTACTGGAGAGGCTGAGAGACTGGGTAGGCCTATCGGGAACTGCTCTGGAGGGGTTCTCCTCAAATCTGTCTGTTTTATAGTTAAAAATTTTTGTTTTTGTGAACCACTTCATAATTTTTATTTTGAGAAGTGCTATATAAAAGATCTTTTCTTTCTTTCTTTTTAATACAGTTCAGTACCAACTACGTTGCCACACGGGGCCAAACACTGGTGCATCAACTTAACAAATAAACACCTTTAAAAGACTTTACTGATCACACTTGAATGAAAGGACTCTAGGCATCTTAGAAGTAACTTTCCCCATCCTGCCTGATAAATTATTCAGCCCTTTTTCATCAGTGTCTTGAATGAGATGAAGACCTCTTGAGTGAGAACATATAGTTATGCAAATGATCCGCGGACCACCAAGGACTCCACGTCTCTTGTCTGCGAGTGACGCAAACAAAGATGGAGAGGTTTGAAATGGTCCATGTGATTCCTGGCGGTGTTTCCCTGAGAATGAGCAACATGTGCCCTACGGAGCGGCAGCCTCCAAACCCTAGAGGCTGGATTTGGATCGAGATATATGATCAAACTGATTCTACACTTTATTCTTTGTCTTGGTTCAGAGAAAAGGAGCAAAATGATTTTTAAAACTAAAAATATATACTATTTTATATAGAAAATTCAGATTAGTTCCATCCTTCTCTTGTTATTAAGTGTAATCGGTGTATTTTATCTTTATTTTTAATATTTCTGTTTGTTTAGTTTATTTCTCACAATGAATGAAGATCCTGTTACATGCAAAATTAACAAGGGTGGTCTTAGAGGGTCAGGGTGAGGTCTTCAGGTGTGTTTTAAAGAGCCTGATTGGTCCATGATAAGTCTGAGCATGCACAAAACCTTAGAAGTGTGGTTAATGGGGGTGTTTGGTGGAAAGTGGAGGCGATTTTTTCATAAGCATGGCTTGGTTGTTCAGAATTTGAAGCAGGAATCAATGCCATCCTCAGCATCCTGCTAGCATTTCTAGATTGTATTTGCTCTTTGACCTGGTTTGTGAGAGTCGTTCAAGGACCAGGCTAGAACAAGTTGTGGTTGTATATGGTACGATCTTTTTAAGAACTTCCTGCTGAGATAGAGTGTGATGAGTGAGCAGAAAAGCAACGTGGGAATGCAGAAAATATGGGAAACAATCCATTTAAGTGAGAACTGAGAGTACATTGAAGGAGGGTCTACTTTTCAAACTTTCATTTTAAAAAGTGACACTTGGCTTTAGGTGATTTGGGCTGCAGAGTTAATGTAACTTATAATGAACCAGAAGGTTCCATAACTGTGGCAAGTTGGAGACATAAAATAATGAGAAAATGTACCATGCCATGAATTCCTCTGAATTGGTGCATTTGACACCTTTGTGGGTCATTTTCTTTGTAGCCACGTCTTGATGGGCATTAGACATATCTGCAAACCAATTGCGACTGTCTTCCAAATTTTTTTCCCCCACAGTTGGGCCATAAAAGGCTGGTTTCCACACACACACACACACACACACACACACACACACACACACACACACACATATATATATATATATATATATATATATATATATATATATATATATAATTTATTTATTTATTTATTTTTTGTTTTACTGGACCATTGTGGCATGCATGTCTCCATCAAAATGTCCATTTCCTGGACCATTTCTAACACACACATCTTGCATAATAGCCAAGAGTCGCCATCTTGGATAGGTCTCCTTTCCCCCCTAGTGCATTTATTAATACTAAGGAAGGTGTTTACCCAACTAAAAAACACATTTTATTATGACTTTTAGCAAAATTAGACATATGGTGTGGCTTGATAATTAAAGTATAAATATAATTAAATTTAATTAAATCAATGAAATTATAAAATCACAGCAGGTAGGCTTTAAAGTCAATAGTAATTCTATGTGATCTCTTTGCAACAGTGTGCCAGAGTGGGTTGTTATAACCGTAGGCTGCACAAAAAATGTCCACCCTGTGTTGACTTCGGTTGGGTTTGGAGAGTGAGGGACCCAACCAATATGGCGGCAATGCTGTTATGCTCTACAGCACCCAATGGTGTCTACGCATTCATTGATTCTAAAAACCAAGAGAGTACCTGCCCTAAATAATGTAATTAGGAATGACTCGGTAGAGTTGCTGGGCGGGTTGCTCCCACCACATTGATTAATGTGGTGGAAGATCCCATCATTTATGCTGTTTTGTATATCACATTTCCTCAGTGGTGCTACAAGGTTGCCATGGGGCCCCAAACATGGCTAATGTGTCTTAATTATGCTTCGGTTTGATTGACAGCTTGTCTCAGACTTCTCACATTTCTTGCATTTTTAAATTCACAAAAATTCAACTGAGATTTCCAAATGTCTGTGACTACTTTAAATAAAATATCTCTTGATATTTTTCCACAAAATTCGAACAACAGAAAAGCAAGGCGAGGATTTTCCCTCACAGTTCCTCTGATTTTACTCAGATTGATTATTTGAACATTTGAACATTTTAAAACTAGTTTTTTGTTCTTCCTCCCAAATTTAATCAGTCTGGATCCTCTTGGGACTCCAGTCCTTATTTTAGGGATGACTCTCTCTCTCTCTCTCTCTCTCTCTCTCTCTCTCTCTCTCTCACACACACACACACACACACACACACACACACACACACACACACACACACACACACACACACACACACACACACACACACACACACACACACACACACACACACACACACTGGCCTTTTCAGTGAGAGGGAGGAGAGAAACACAAACAGCTTTTTATTCAGGAACAAGCTCTCTGAGGCTCCGACAAACTATCTGCAGCCACCCTGTGAACACACACTTCTCTCTGACGGACTTCACACTCCGATCCTCAGAATCTCTTTGGGTTTAAATCCTACCGGAGCTTCTCTGGACTGTTTTCAGCACCGGAACCAGGCTTTTCTCTCAGGTTGGTCCTAATCTGTGTCTTCATTCTGACATGAATGAATGGTGGCTGATTTTGTTTCACTTGCATTCATAACATGAGAGTTTTTGCAGGCTCTGACTGCTCAGTAGCATTTAATCCAGATGAAGTTATTTCTGCCTTGAGATGAAAGATTTCATTTAAGTTTTTAAGGGATAAATTAACCTTAAAGCTGCTTTTATGAAAACGAAATAAACACTAAGAGTTTTTTTTGTCTGTCATGTGTTTTATGAATTCCTGTTTCATTTTACATCAGATTAGTGTTTAGTCTGACATAAACATAAAAAAACAACTTTATTTTTCTTCAAAAGGGCAAAAAACATTTAAGTTCACAAGTGACAGCAAACTGTTTTTCCTCACTCTCCAAATGAGCTTGCTCATCAACCATCTTCAATGTGGAGGTAATTAGGGTGTGTGTGTGCGTGAGCGTGTGTGTGTGTGCGTGTGTGTGTGTGCGTGTGTGCGTGTGCGTGTGTGTGTGAGAGAGAGAGAGAGAGAAAGTCAGACTGACATTTCAATTTGCTGTAATTGTGTAATTGAAACCACTGTTGTTGGTGGTTTGTATGTCTGCACCCAAACAACACTATAGTGCGGTTTTCTAATTAGCAGACATTTCTCATTTTGTTCCTTTTTACGGTCCCGTTGGTCTCTGTGTAATGTGTGTGTCTCTGATTTTTCCATGGTTGGAGATAAAGTATTTGGTGCATTAAACAACCACTCTGGAGACTTGTGTCCTCCTTTAAAGATCTATTTGGACGGAAAGCTCTGGAACGGAGCCTAAACTTGTGATCAGATAACTTCACAGTTTTTTTAATGCAACCATGTCTCATTTGGATTGTTTTTGGACTTTTTTGTTGAATTTAAAGAGAACTTATGAATAATTACAGTAATAGTCTGCCAAATGTAGATAGATTCCTGTTTGGGAAAATAAAAAGGAACACCCACAGGAATGATGAGCTAACGGCTAGTTTAACTCCAGCTAAATTGTATTGAATTTTTGCTAAATTACTAATCATTACATTTCACTTTGACTAGTTTCTATACACGTAATTCTGTGGTTGGGTACAGGTGGAATTGTCACCAGTGGCAGCTAATTATGGCTACCACACTTGCGGTTAGCTAACCAACCATGAAGGATGTTAAAGAAAATTGATCAAGAACTGTAGCTTTTCACAATTAAAAGACATGTGCTTCGCTGCATCATATTTGCTCAGTGTATAAGTTTCTTAGACCTCTATCTCTTTAACAGGATTAGTTAATTCCTTGAACTTCTGCTCCATTGAATGCTGTACAAGTCTTCTGCCTCCTCGTGGAGGATCCATGTACTGCAGGGCATTAGTGCCAATTATATTTTGTTATCTATGCAATGTTTTCAGCAATTTTATAATTGTTTTATTGACATTAAGTCAATCTTTTGAAAGAAATGATCTGATCAAAAGGGTTAAACTCATAAGTCAGTTGCATTTCTACCCTGATTTATAAGTTTCGTACATTTAAACATTTTCAAACCAATCAGCTTGAGTTTAGTAACACTTTCATGTTTTAATGACATAATTCAGTTGAAGGGCTTTTTTCTTCCATCCATTTGACATTTTGTATAGATCATGTTTTACAACAGGAGCTCACCTGGCTCCTAGAGCAGGATCTCTACGTCAAACACAGAGCCAGAACAGCAGCTCCAGACTGCTAATGAAATCATTTCCAGGAGAAACTCCACCAGGGCTGATATCACGGGCTCATAAAGGAGCTGGATGAACGCAATGAAGTCAGGTCAGCTCTGAGCAGGAAAAAACACTGGCACTTCTCCAGGCTTTGCACATATGCATCCTATACCTCTGAGCTCTGCTATGCTTCATCCTGCACACACACACACACACACACAGCTTTCAAATCACAGAAAATGAACACAACATCCGTTTATTCTTTCTCGATCCAACAATGAACAGTTTGAGGAACTTTTTCCAGAAACTAAAAGTAAACATGGATTTTAACATTTAAGTGTAATTCCGCCCCCTGCGGGCAGTTTACAACACCATCTAAGGCTCTTAAAGCCAGAAGTTGTGATGTTACTCTTAGAAGATCTTTAGGATAATTAGCTCATCAGTTAACTATGTTTACAAAGAGAATAAACTAAAATACCTTTGGTAGAATATACAGTGAGTATATGTTGGTTTTCATTTTTGTTTTTTTTGTTTGTTTTTTTCATTTATTGAAAGACGCAAAAGTTCTAAAATGACAAATACGACACAGTTAGAATGGATCTAAATAAATAACTGAAAAACCGCAATTGTTAAATGAACTCAGAATCCTTAAAAGGTATGTTGGTGCATCACCAAGCCCCAAGTTGGTAAACCCCCGGGAACACCTCTCAAAGTCAGAATTCCTGGTTTGCAAGTTCCCGACCAGTGCTAATCTCAAAATCTAGTCTGGCGGCATCTTAAGTCCAAATTTATTAAAGGTACAGATAAAAATTAGTTATTCATGCAAGGTTTATACTCAGTAGTGTACCACCTCTATCAGTGAATATGTTGCTAGCACGTTCAGATTAACAGCCTTTGTTAAGAAATGTAGTTTTCTTCCTACAGGACTGATAAGCTAATGGCTAGTTTGATCAGCACCAATAGAAAAGTGAGTTGTTGCTGCATTATTAGAGCTCTTACCTCCAGACTCTCGTAAAGGTTCGTCTGATCTTACTTTCAAAACCTTTAGGTTCCACAGTAAACATCACTGCCGTTTACCAAACTCATCTAAGAACACAAATATGAGCAGAACCTTGTTTACAGCAAAAACATTCAATTAAACCCGGTCCTGTAGGCATGCCAGGCCTGCAGGGGGCATTAGTTCCTCAAATCATCAATGTCTTTGCCGAAAACCATTTCTTGGATGTGGAATAACTTGGTGGAGGACCAACACTGTCCTTGTCATTGTCCTTCGCCTGGTCTTCTACACTGAGTGGTGAAGGAGTTTGCAAAAACAGGCAAGCGAGTATAAACACGTGTCGCACTGATGATGTCAGAGCATTTTCGTCATGGGCAGGGACGTAGCGAAACATAAAACCCCAGTTGTTTACGTCCACAAGTAAACGCTGACAATTGAGCATTTGCAAATCCCCTCCTTTGGTCAGACATTTTGAAAGAATATTTTTGGTGCTGTTTATCTTCATGTGGGTGACAAACCAAACCTTAGAAAAATATATTTTGTTTTGTGGACTGGGATACCTGGCTACTTGTGAACAGGGTCTAAATGTGGCCCTTCCAGGTCATCTCATCTGAGGGGTCGGTTTTAATTCATACGTTTGAAATTAAGGTTTTTAAGATGGCAGTAATTTGATTTGGTCTTCGCTACACTTATATACTACTTATATACTACTTATATACTACTAATACTGCTCTCCATTAGTTATGATTTAAACTTTTACACACAAACACTCTTCAAAAGGGCAGAAATATCCCTTTAACTAAAACAACATACCTCTAAGAGACTTTTGCAGCACTGTTTAATCCCCTCCTTTGGCTGACCCCATGCCTCCTAAAGGTGTGAATTAAATCTACATCCAGATTTTGCTCAAAGCTAATTAAACATCAGTGTGTGAGTGGGCGTGTCCAGCTGCAGCACCTCTCTCTACCTGCACCAGCAAGGACACGGTTGGTTGGTTAATGTTTGCATCTCTTGGATTCATGTGGTGGAAAGCTGTTGGGCAGACACACCGTGTGCAGCCTGGCCCTGACAGTAATCGGTCGATGAATAATGAACACACACACGCGCGCACACACACACCAACCTGCCTTTGGCAGCTGGTTCGAATCTTTGTTTGTGCGCTAACTCTATCATTCGACTGCAGCTGCATGCCTGCCTGTAGCAATTATTTCCCTGCTAAATAAGAGCCAGCTCCAGGAAGGCGGAGAGAGAGCGAGAGAGAGAGAGAGAGAGAGGGCGAGAGAGAGACATTATTAAGTGATTATCTTACTCAAAGGATAGCCGCAAGAAGCGTTGTGAGTGTACGCTGAGGCATACATGCTGTTTGAACTGAGAGTAATATAAACCAGCTCAGAGGCTATAATATGAGGCTATAGGAGTACACACACACACACACACACACACACACACACACACACACACACACACACACACACACACACAGAGTTTTGCTTGCCCTTTCTACCTCCACACTCTGCATAAACCTCATTTCTCTGTTTCAGACATGTGGTCGGTTCTCAGTATTTATCCTCCCGTGTGACCCAGTCTCTCCTGCAGATCCTCAAAGGCTCTGTTGTGTTGTGCATTCCTTTCACACACTTGTAGCCTCCATTCATAGACCTATAAACACTCACTAAAGCCATTGGTGCCCGTGGACTTTCCCCCCGCAGACTTTTTCACGGTTAATTTGCTGTTCAATAGGTCGGGAGGAGAAGCCCACAACAAGCGCGCAGAATCGGTCTCGAATGAAGAGTCATGTGGCACCAGGATAGCCTTGTTGTGTGTTTCCCAGACAGATGTGACTCCTGTGATCTGCTGGGTCTACAGAACCACGAGTGAAGCTGCTGCAAAGTCAACAACGGCTTTGTTGTTGCAGTCTGAAGCAGCTGTGTGTTTGTCAGGAAACACTTAACTTATTTGTCATTCAGTTGAAAGGTTTGGCATTTAAATTAATAGTTATGGATCTTCTTGGAAGATGTTTAGTCATCGGGAAGGCTCACTAATGAGCTTCAGAGTTAACCTTGTGTGTCTTAGCTGATGTTCCAAGTCTGATGTTCCTGCTACATCACTGTTAATGTTTCTAGGTACATCAAGCTCCCCTTTAATATAAAGAAACCTCAGTACTATGGTGAAAATCGGTTTGAATGGCCAATATAGTCTTTGTGGGGTGCTGGCAAGCTCTTTAGATGTGTACTAAGAACGCAATGGGCTCCCCGTAGCAGGATAGCATGTGAGATGGATAATTGTTTAGAGCATACTTTTGTCGTAAGGTCTAGGGCCTTGGAGATAGGGTGAGTAGCCAGCTGTGGTAGCTGGTCAGGAAACCTCCTAGGGGAGGTGTTTCAGGTATGGTGTTTCAGGTATGTTCTGTTGGTAGGAGGCTGACCCAACACACACTAGAGGGTTTATATCCCCACATTATCCAAGGAATGCTTTTGGCTGAAAATGAACAAAGTCTGGGTGGTTTGCAGTCATAGAAGTTTCTGGATGTAGGATATGGGTTTGTTCGGCCATCGCATTCATGCTAGCATGATTTCACGATATACCTGCATCTTTTTTTAACTCATATGGCAAAGCTGGGGTATGGTGTGAAGAGTAATGTACACGGTCGACCATGAGGAAACTTGCAGCTGAGGTATAGAGAGTGCATGAACCAAAGATTAAAGGAAGGTTGATCTAACTAATGGGACGGTATAGCAACGATCGTCATCCAGTGTTAATGGGACTACATGTCATTGATTTTTGATTTTGCTTTGGTTTTCATTGCTTTTCTCTGATAATTGTTTTCAACCCAGTCTGACAATCCACGCTGTGTTTGGTCTGCACACGTTTGGCTTCACAAGTCCATCGTCCAAACCTCGACCCAAGCTACGAGCTTTTAAATTTAGCAGATTTAGAAACTTTTGATGACCAGTTTCGATCCAGTTTTAAACGAACATCTGATTGAATGCTTTACCAGGATATGATTAAACCAGATAGTTGTAGTTATGATCAGGTAGACAGGGAACTATTAGACAAAAATGCTTCTATGTGGTCCATCTGACAGCAAGTCTTGATTTAGATGCTAGTTTGCCCAGAAGTGTAATCGTTATACAGTATCTATCTTCAGTGATGTCACCTGCCATCAGCAGGACATTTAAAGTGACCAGATTCTCTCTTCTTCTTGCCAGATTGATGACATTACATTTTATCTCTCTTTGTCCTGGTTCCTCCTCTTATAGGCTCTGGGATTTCCTGGTGATGACCTCCCTGCTGTTTCCTGGTGACACTCACACTGCAATGAAGGATCTCTCCTCTTCCTCCTCGCCTCTCACCTCCCTACTTCACTACCCTTCTTCCAAGCCCTCCGTCGTGCCCTTTTCATCATCGGCTGGTTCCACCTCAATGCCTGGAGTTTCATTGTCATCTGCGCCAATCTCCAAACCTCAGCCGTTCTGCCTGCAGACGGGACCGCACCTCATTGCCAGCATGCAGCTGCAAAAGCTCAACTCTCACTACCAGAACCTTGCCGGCGCCTCTGCTGGGCACCCAGCAGCCGGCGCACCTCAAAAGAGCTTCTCACCTCTGGGTACGGGTAACCAGCTGCTGGGGCCGCCTGGAGGCCACGGAGCCGGGAACATGGGTGTTGGTATCAGCATGGTGAGCCAAGGCTCTGGCCCCAGCGGGATTATTGACTTTGACCCTGTGGATGAGGAGGTTCTCATGTCTCTGGTGGTTGAGCTGGGTTTGGACCGAGCTAACGAGCTACCAGAGCTCTGGCTGGGACAGAACGAGTTTGATTTCATGTCGGATGTGTCGGCTGGATGCTGACCTCTCACCCCCCCCCAAAAAAAAAAAACGGATCAGAAACATCCAGATGGAGTTAATCAACAAGGAGAAATGGTTTCTCTTATTGCTTTTTTTTCTTTGGTTGATGCTGAGAAAGCCAAAGTGATCCAGAGATTTGAGGCATATTCTTGTTTCTGATTTGCTTTACACTCCAAACATGGACAGGAAGGTTCACAGAAAGGACAGCTTGCTTCTTCTTTTTGTTGGTTTTCATGTATTCTGTCTTTGCAGTGATCAAACCAGTTATGGCATCACTCTTTTGTTTCCTTGAAAAGACATAAATAGGGAAGAATTAGCAGTTTGTTCCATCAGTCCTCCGTCCTCCGTCGCTCCAGTGCTGAGGCTTAATGAAAACACGTTGAGTGATGTACGGAGGGCTGAGTGAGACATTTGAGCCAACCTGAAGCGAAACTCTACAGACGAGTAAGGAGCACCTGTTGGACTTGGATTCCCTCTTTTCTCAGAGCTGTCTTCTGTTGATCAATCAGGAAAGGAAAAAGAAAATCTGAACCGCGACCTAAGGAGAGCACATGAAATAGGATGACAAACACTTCCTGTTTTCTTAGCAGACACTATTAGCCTCGGGTCTCATGGGAAACAGCCTTCTGTCTTCCGGCTTTACAAAGATCTGATTGTCAGAGAACTGGTTATCTTACTTCTCTCTTTCTTTTTTTTTTGGTTGAATTTAGTTTGACCAGTTGTGTTCGTGTTACCTAAGCCAGTGGCTGATATCTATCAGGAGTCTGGCACAAGGAGCGCTTCTATGGCCGCTTCTACTTTTCTGAGAATATTGAATTAGGTTGAGGAAAGTGGAATCCTATAGGGCATGTCACATGGACGCGGTACGTTGTCTGGAGTAAAATGACTGAAGTATTTGGATCACACTAGTTGTGACTAAATGTACATGTTCTTATGAGCTGACACGTGCCAAAACTGACATCAGTGATCGTGGATGGCTTCCCTTCCAATGACGATGGAGATCTGCTAGCATTTATTGACTAAAGGTGTGTTTCCATTACGTAACCAAGAACCTTAACTCTAGTAACAATTTACAGTATTTTGCCTCATGGCTGATGGTCACTGGGAACGTTGGGGATCCTCAACCAGTAAGAAGGAAGCACCAAACAGAATGTTCCAGATGTTTTCTAAAGCACTACCTCCCTACCCAGGGCTGTTATTTTGGTTAAACTGGGTTAAATTTTTTCCCTGCTCATACATTTTAATTATGGCTACCCAGGTTCCTGCAAAATGTTCCTGAAGTGGTAACACGCCTCAAAAGTTTTTTTTTCTGCTCTGTCACTGAAATATTAATCTTCAAACCATTAGTAATCAGCCCAGATTGACCTAATTATCAGTGCCTGTTCTGTAGATGAAGTGTTTTGCTTTGTCATAACATGACCTGTAGGCTTCTGTTTGCTCACCTTTGACCCAAAAGCACACACTGTGGAGTCAACTTGCAGGTCGTACTAAAATCAGATAAAAATAAAGTGTTTATAAACTGTTGAACGCTAGTAGTTCTTTGTTGCTAGGATGCAAGATACAGCAGCTTCTGGCCATTCCTGTGGGTTGATATTGGCTTAAAGTGACCGTGTGTATTTTTTCTGGCAATAAAGGGCAGTAGATACATCATTGCAAGCAAGTATTATTTTTGTGTTCAAGTAAGACCTTACCAACAGATGGCCATTAGGGTCAAAAATCCTTAGGAGTGCAACCTCCAGCAAAATAACAAGAACATCAGATTTCCTTTCATCACTGGCAATTAGTGGAGGGTAAATGTGTAAAAGAACAACGTTCATTAATGCAGAAAAACTTGTAACCATTTGTTACAAATCAGTAAAGGCATTCTGTCCTCACGGGCTTCCGTAGAAGGAAAATGGCATCCAATATGGCATCGCCCAGAGACTTAGACCTGCTCCCATGTATTTTAAACCTGATTTTTATGGTTGTATGTTATGAAACCGCCAATATTGTTCAACAACTGGGTAACTTTTAATTCATTTGCAACAATATTTCAGTGGATATTTCCAGAGATTAATGGTAAAAACTTTACAAGGCAAGGACCAAAGTCATCCTTGAATGGCCACAAAAATGTGATTTTTATTGTTTTTTTTTTTTAGATGCAAACATTTCATAGTGTCTTTTCATTTGTACTGCTCAAAAATAAATGTTACATTATTAAATATCTGAACATAAAAATGTTACAAGCCGACCATCCACGTCAAAAGCCTGCTGGACACTATTCCAGAAAATTCAACAAATTCATTTGAGGGCGACACAAAATCATTTTTATTAGGGTCACAAATGGTCCTTAGGCCACAATTTGGACATGCCTAACCCAACATGAAAGGGAGAAATGGGTGCATCAGCACCTAACATTTTAAGTTCCATCCATGGTGTACAACAAGCAAAATTAGAAAAAAGCGTTTTTAGCCCCAGTGACTTGCAATCATTTTGTTGTGCTTCCAAGGACCCATGGTCCACAAGTAGATGGGCATGACGGCTCCCTATTGTGATAGCTATCAAACACCCCCTGCTGACTTTAGCTATTTAAGCTAGTGATATGCACTGTTAGCTAGCAGTAAAAACTAACCTGTTGCCAGAAGAGCCCTTAACCCAGTCAACAGTCGGGGCATCCTGTAGTGGGAATTTGGTCTCAGAACATTTAAGCCCCGTGAGAATATCAGCAGAACTAGTTGGTTTTGGCTCATCCTGCAAATGCTTTAATGAAATTGGATCTTCTGTTTGGAGAACTAGCTAGTGGCTTGCATTCTGTGAGCTTATTTGAAGCCACGGATACAGTTTCTCTGGAGCCCTCAGTTGTGACACAAAAGTTAGCTTCAGTGCTTTCCTTTGAAGACGTCTTGCAAGAGTTGGGTTGCACCAAAACACCTCTAAATCAGTGTCAGTGCCATGTGATACTGTTAAATCCTGTGGGTAAAGCTAACAGTTAAACCTTAAAGCACTATTATGTTTAAAACAAAGCCAAACTAAATGTTTAGCTGTGGTTTTCACTTCACACCTATCACACCGTAGTAGTTAGTTGACCTGTTTAAACTAGTATTTAATTAACTAGCATGAAGAGAAAACAGCTTAGCTTCAACTGGCCCATTATTTTTGTCACCCCCATTTATGTCCACATGTTTACATAAATTATGTCATAATTCTTGCAGCAATCAAGTTTAGAGCAGTGGGTTGGTAGCAGAGATCAATTACCATTGGTGTTTTTAGGTTTACCGACATTACTAATGAATAAAGAAACATACCAATGACACAAAAAGCAAGAACTAACAAAATATTTGTATTTACTACTACTGTTAAACATTTTTTAGTAATTGAGAAATCAGATAACCTGTTATCGTTTTTAAGATTAAGTTCCTGGAGGTCATCTTCTAGACCCCTGATCTGGTGATTTTCAAACAAGGGTCTAAATCACCAGTTTGATCACCATCGATGCAGTGGAGCTGCGATTCGATGTTTGCCGATATCGCAAATTCAGTCACATCTCATTTGATCCAATTTAGGATCCACCGACTGATATGAAACAATATTACAAGTGACTGAACACAGTCATTATCCAAGGGAGACATTTTCCTCACAGACAAACCATGTGTTTGTTTTGTTATTCCATCCATTTTTAAAATCAATTTTAGATTGAAGAAAGAAAAAAGAAAGCAAACCATCTTTTATATAATGCCTCTCAGGATAAAAATCATGAAGTGCTACACAAAAGAAAAAAATTTAAAAGATAAAGATTTTAAAAAATTTAAAAGATAAAGATTTTTAAAAATTATGTAAAAGTATGGTTAAAATGAGAAAGAAAGAAAAGATAAATTGTGAGTAAATAATTTAAGGAAAGGGAGAGAGAAAATGAATAGGAAAGAGGGAAATCCGTGGATCCCGGGAAAGGTGGAATAAGAGCAGAATACGGAGAGGCTGGTAATGAAGGCCACACCAAGGTGAGTTTTCAGCTGCTTTTTGAAGGAGACCACCGAGTCCACTAATCTCAGGCTTAGGAGGAGAGAGCTCCAGAGTCTGGGGGGCCACAGCAGCAAATGATGATATGATTGATCACCATTTAACCATTGTATCAATGTATTAAACTCCTAGTTCACAATCAGATTAAGAACAAAAATAGAGTGAATTACAAACAAACTGAGACAAAATTAAGACACTTTGAGACTAAATTTCTACAAAAAAGTTTTGCGATTGTAGAAAATAGTTTGCAAATATATATGCTACACATAAGTGTCTTTCTAATTCAAAATTTCTGCCATTGTTTAGTTGAAATTTTGTCTTTTTAAAACTATTTTTAACCCAGAAGTTCCTAAAACTTCTGGGCTGCTTGGTGGCAGTAGTTAGCACTGTTGCCTCGCAGCAAGAAGGTTGCAGGTTCAAAACTGGGCTGCGGCCTTCCTCCGTGGAGTTGCATGTTCTCCCCATGCGTGCGTGGGTTTTGGGCACTCCGGTTTGCCCCACAGATCACAACATGCCCTATAGGTTAACAATTGTACATAGCTTACATGGATAAAAGCATCTGCCAAATAAATAAATATAAACATAAAACTATTTCATGTTGGTGGCCAGGGGGAGGCCACCAAAAAAGTAGAGTTGGCACAATAAAAACCAAAAGAAACTCGGGGCTGTTATAATGCTTCCCTTAGACACAAATTTTTAGTTGCTGTGATTTAATTTATTATTATTTTGATTTTGTTAGTCATTTCAGATTAGAAGAACCTCATAAACATAATTTTTAAAGAATAACTACAAACAAAAATTCTTAACATTATAAATCAGAATTTTGTGTCTCCAGATAATAAAAACAGGTGAATTAAATATACAAGATGCCAATTCTTCATGCTCTTCTTATGGGGCTGTAGTGTCTCGGGAAGAAAATACGAGAATAAGCAAACTTCCTTCTGATGTAATTCCACTTTTTACTGAGACGGACAGAAATGACAAGAATAAAATGTTGCAACATGGAGAAGCTTGCTCTGCTTTCTCTTACATTCCTACTTGTTACAGGATTTTAATCTTCATCTGACAGGTGGACACGTCTTTGGTGTTGAAACCTGGAGGCTTCAGAACAACAACACCTGGCCCCTCCGCCCAACCTAAAGGGGCTTTACGCTGCCTTCCTCCTTTAGATAAACGCTGTCAGGTTTTCATTCTTCTGTTGTCAGAGGAGACAAAGAGCAACAACAAAGACCTTTCGTCCTCAAGTCTGTCATCTGCTCGTTGTTGGTCTCTTGCTGGACCACTCTAAACAACACACCTGGTTATCAGCACACACACACACACACACACACACACACACACACACACACACACACACACACACACACACATTGGTAAGTATCTGCAGCCAGTCAAAAGCCACGGAAACATACACATGTAGAAGCAAATGGATGGGGTTACAGCAATGAAACAGGAGCCATGAAACAGTCACCTGTTAGTCACACACGCGCGCACACACACACACACACACACACACACACACACACACACACACACACACACACACACACACACACACACACACACACACACAAAGGTCCTCAAAGCCTTTTCTTCGGGTAGATAAAATCTTGGTTAAGGCCGCTGCTTTCTTTCCTTTCTGTAATAAAACAAGAGCAGGAGCGATTAATGAAAAGCTGCTGAAGGAGTAATTTGATGGAATCGTTTAACTCTTTAAGAAAGGATTTGGTGGTTTGGTTCCTCTTTTCCTTCAAAACAATCGCCTCACTGAGATGAAAAGGAATAAAGATGCTACTCATTGCTTCCAAATCCAGCAGACAGACACCGACTCGCCCCTCTTCCCCCTTTAAGTGGGTCAAAATAACATTCTTCACATTGAGGGGAGCCTTATGTTTGTTTCCATCTGCTTGATATTTTATCTTTGTTGTGTGTGTGTGTGTGTGTGTGTGTGTGTGTGTGTGTGTGTGTGTGTGTGTGTGTGTGTGTGTGTGTGTGTGTGTGTGTGTGTGTGTGTGTGTCAGTCCCAGCTGAGTCTGTGTGAACCAGAGGCCTCTCTCCCCCCTGAGGAACAGCCTGTTAACAGTGTTTAATTTGTTCTTATTATTAACTTGACTCTTATTAAAACAGAAGAACCCAACATGGATTTTAGGATTAAAATGGACAGTTCTGAGAAAATTCCTGGAATATTTTTTCTCAGCCCCTATATCTTCTTTGCTGATAAGACCGGGGTGTGCTTCAACAGCACTTTTGCTGGTTTTAGTCTAAATTACAAAAAATGAGCTGCGGGCAAACCACACGCGTTAAAAAACAAGTAAAAGTCCAAATCAACCCTTTAAAGTTGAGGGAATTGTGTTTGCATTGTGTATTCCAAAGTTTCTCGGACCTCTATTTCTTTAACAGGATTAGTCCATTCTTCAACCTTCTGCTCCATTAAAGAGCAAGTCACCCCCCTACCAGAGTTTTACTCCACCCACTCTTGCTGTTTAAAAGGAGGTGTTGCCTGGTGGACCGATGAGGATTTCTCTCCACCTCCTTCACCCGAGGAAAGAGATGAAGGCACTGTAGGAATCTTAAGTCTCCTCCCTTTCCGGTCGGCTCGTGGGTCCCTGGAAGAATGAAAAAATGAATGCAAGTCAATGGGGCTAAAATTTTCGAATCCGCTTAGCCTTACGCCCTGGATCACACATATGCTGTACTGCAATTTAAATGAAAACTAATGACGGGTGTTTCGACCACGCCAGTCATGTGCCTCAAGATTTATCAGCTTGTAAAAGTTTGTAATTAGCATGACTACAAATCAGACGTTGGCACGTTGCATATATGACGTCACCACAGAATCTCCTCTCGTGTAGTGTAGCATGAATTTTTTCGTTCTTCCAGGGACCCATGGTCCGGAAGTAGATGGGCGTGACTTAGACTTCCTGTAGGGAGTCTACATCATGCCCATCTACTTCCAGACCATGGGTCCACAGAAATAAGGAAATATGGGGCTGAAAACGCTATTTTCTAATCCTGTTTGATATGTGCCATGAATTTCACACATGATGGCTGTGAATTTTAAAGAAACATTCTGATGCTAAGAAAGCGCTTATTTTCAAACGGGGGCAAAGCTTATTTTAGGTTTTGAGTGCAAATACATCCAGGACTACAAATGTGCATCACCAAATTGACGTAATCAAACCAGACAAGGAGAAAAGCAGAGGAAAAATGGCTGTAAGTTTAGCAAACGTCGAATAATTTTTCATCATATATCTGGCCATGTGGTGAGTAGCAGCTACCCTAGGGAAGAGGAGATTCTGTGGCGACGTCATGCATGCGACGTGCCGATGTCTGGTTTGTAGTCATGCTAATTATTAACTTTTACAAGCTGATAAAATGCTGATTTAAAATAAAGTACAAAATTATCTGTGTGATTCAGGGCAAAAGGCAAAGCGGAAGGCAAAGCGGATAAGAAAATAGCTCTTTTAACCCCATTGATTTGCTTTGCAACCAGAGTTGAGACAGCTGGAGCTGAGGCTGAAACTCGGCTGCTCCCGACAAGAGTAGTGCAGCCGTGTCACATGTATCGGCTAATGTCACATATAACTTTTTGGACTATAGCCATGGCTGATTTAAATTCAAATGTAGCCCAGAATTTTAACCTGGGGCTTACGTCTCGGCTCGGCCGCTCCGGTCATCACAGGATCGTCAGCTAGCAGTGCCTACACCACGCTCAGGACAATCCAGACTCTTCTCATGCATCGTTCCACAAATGTGGAATGACCTTCCAAGTACTACCAGAACTGGGGCTTCCTTTTCAATTTTCAAGAAACTCCTGAAGACCCTGCTCTTCAGAGAGCATCGTCTTAACTAGCACCCTCCCTGCACCCGTCCCCCCCTCTACTGTCCACTCCTTGTTCCCTCCTCTCCATGATTGATGTCAAGTTGTTGTTGTTATTGTTGTTGTTAGCCTCAAGGACAACATGCCGATTATCACTTGTAAGTCACTTTGGACAAAAGCGTCTGCTAAATAGATAAACACATAAACCTGTAGGGATTGCTAAACTGTTTAGGCTGAATATTTATATTTTACATTAGATGCCTTAAAATGCCCAAAATAATGACTACACATGTCTGCAGCACTATTAGACACTCATTCATAAAGTTTATCAGCACAAAAAGTCGACCTGGGAGTGACTTTCCCTTTAAGTCAGGTATAAATCTGCAGCATTTCAGGCATTATGTTTCAATGTGTTGTTACTGTTGTAATGATGAATATGTACATTACAAATGGTTTTCAGTAAATATATAATTATTTTATTGACATAAGTCTACAAATAGATCCAGATTTTTAGGGCTGTTAATTGATGACTCAGGTTATAAAGGATTTAAAAGCATGAATTTGGAAATGACTGAGCTCATTTAGCAAGAAAGATTTTGCATTTTTACTAAATAAAAAGTGAAAACTAAGCTCCTTTGGGTATTTGCCATATAAAAAATAGACAAATCAATTAGCATGTAAAGTAGCATCATGTTTTAGGCATGCACGTGCCTTTTTTACAACACATTTCTAGAAAATTTTTAAATGTTTAGTTTGTTGTTTAACGTTAAGAGGATAATAGTAATTTTTTTAATAGTTACAAATTGTGTTGGAAACAAATTTTATTATGTCGAAAATAAAACAAAAGTTGACTTGCCTTTTATATGGCTAAATTTCACATGTAGACATGTAGGATAAAACCACACTGCCATCTGCTGGTTCATGGTGGTGTGTGCACACACTCCCATTATGGGACCATAATGCACAGACTTTAAAAATCGTTACCAGGCTATGAAGCAAACATGAAAACATCCACACATAACATAATTTTATTTAAGAGGTATTTTAAATGTATATATATATATATATATATATATATATATATATATATATATATATATATATATATATATATATATATATATATATATTACTGCTGAAATTACTGAGTGATGTGAAACAGTAAATTAGTTAAATATGTATAGAATTATATTTACATGAAGGTTACGTTGTTGGGGTAAACAGCCTTGGTTGTTTTGGCTCACTGGTCCATAAATGATAGAAACTGTTTCTTTGAACAGAGGCTGTTCAGGAAACTACAACAGGCAGGGTAGTAATTATTTACGCACAGAAACATATTTCAACCTCTTTATTTTTCCCTATGATGTTACTTGTCAAAATCCAGATAGCTTTCCCCCTTTTGGTATCTAAAACTTTGGGAGTCTATTAGACAAAAACGTGGTCCAATAACCCTGCAGGAAAATGTACATCCACACTAAGATGCAAGAAAATCACAATTGTGACATGAACTTTAAACATGACATGACATATGAATTTTAATTTTGGCTTATAGAATAGTTTTCACACACTAGATGTTGGTGATTGAGACATTAGCATGTGCTGCCCTCTGGTGGACAAGAGTGAGTATTGAGCACGGGGGGAAATCTAACAGTTTAAAGAAAAATCATGTACTGCATTCAGATGTGTAGATGTGTTTGATTCAATATTTCGTTTTCAGGAGAACCGGATTTTTCCCAAAATTCCCAAAAATTCTTTATCAGTTCAGTGCTGAAGAGTTGGCCCCAGTGTTTACAAGCATTTTCAGCTCCTCACTAGAGGCATCTCATGCGCCGGCCTGCTTCAAGATCTCCACCATAGTCCCTGTCCCCAAGAAGCCAAGGATCACTGGACCCAATGACTACAGACCTGTGGCTCTGACATCTGTGGTCGTGAAGTCATTTGAGCACCTGGTAAACCAACAGCTGCACCTCCAACCATGAGTCTGTCAAGCTAATCAAGTTTGCATCTCTGACAGGGATTAGTCTGCCTACAGAATGGAGGTTAAACGGCTGGTGTCCTGGTGCAGCCACAACAACCTGGTGCTAAACACCCAGAAGACAGTGGAGGCTGTTGTTGACACTCCCATCACGATGGTGGACTCATGTTGCTTCCTGGGCAGCACCATTACCCAGGACCTCAAGTGGGAGCCCACCATCACCTCCATCATAAAAAAGGCCCAACAGAGGATGTACTTCCTGAGGCAGCTGAAGTAATTCAACCTATCAGTACATTTGATGAGGCATTTCTACACCGCAGTCATCAAGTCCATCCTCACCTCCTCAATCACCGTGTGGTACGCTGGAGCTACCATCAGGGACATGAAGAAGCTGCAGCATGTTGCGCGCTCTGCTGAGAAGGTCATTGGCTGCAAACTCCCCTCTACACAGGACCTGTACACCTCCAGGACATTGAGGCGTGCAGGTCGGATAACAGCGGACCCATCTCACCCTGGACACGGCCTCTTTGACTCGCTCCCATCAGGCAGGAGGCTCAGATCCATTCGGGCCAGAACCTTATGCCATAAGAACAGGGCTGCCCACTCCAGTTGGTTTGTTACAGTCACATGACCCTGTGTTGTGTTTGTACCTGAACTGATCTGCTCTGATCAGTACCTACACTATCTTGTATATAGTAGCGTTTCTCTAATTATTGCCACTTTATATTATTATTACTATTATTATTTCATGATTCTATTCTGACCTCATATATTTTCTAATATCCTACTTTTATCTTCCTTTCTTTGCACCAAGTATCGCAGCAATTTCCAAATGTTGTGATTCTCGCACACATGGCAATGAAACCCTTCTGATTCTGATTCTAACTAAATAAAACAAATGATGTGTTGCTGCTATTGAAACTTATTTGATAAATTGTAAATGTGCCATTCTTTGTGGGTTGGGAGCATTACTAAAACGGCTATGACAATGTAAGTATATTCCCATAACTCAAATGCATGTGTATTGAGTATTATGTGTACTTCTATTAAATGAAAAAAAAAGTATTGATTACAGTTATTTTGTCTTAGTTTTGCATGTTTGTTGATTTTTAGTTTGAATAAACATTAGGTAGCCTTTTTTAAACACAAAAAAACTTTATTATTTTTAAGTAGAAAAGAAGGAAAAAAATTAAAGGTAAAGTTAAGATAAAATAAAGATGAAAGATGAAAAAGTAGGCCTTATTTCTCAAATATAGTAAATAATTTGTACGTATAGTTATGGAAATAGCTGACAAAATATAAAAGAAGTTTAAATTATATTATAAATTAAAAAGCAAGTATACTTCCCCATGGTTTTTAACATGTGATATTTCGCGTTTCCGTATTTTTGTCCCTCCCTTTTTGCCGTAGAACCCGATATCAATCATTACCGGAAGTTAGGAGGTCCTTTCCCCCGCAGACTCCAAGATGGTGAGGCGTTTTACTCCACCAATCTGCTCCGAAATAATCTTTAAACATCCTGTTTTCTGATCACATTATCAAGCAAATATACGTGTTAGTTTAATAACCACCATGATATGTAATAATTTATGTGGATATTGTTAACAAAACCCATGATTCATGTTCTTAAATTATGAAATTGGACGACCCATCGCTGCTTCTCTCACGGGCTTGTTAGCTTAGCATGTAGCGTATTGGTGAATATTACAGTACAGCGGCAGGGCTGTAGTCGGATGAGTATTTATAATACAAGCTATTGCATGATTTGGCTTAAATCTGCTAAACTGTTTCATTTGAAACGATATGATTACATGTTCTTAAACGTTTAATGAGTAGGCCGTAGCCGGTTACACGTAAATCAACTTAGCAGCACGTTAGCACAGCGTGTTAACAGTCTGTCAGACCTAAACTGCACTAGAAATTTTAATGTATTAAGTTCGCTAACCAGCTCTGGTCCTACTCTTCCAGGCTAGAGGACCGAAAAAGCATCTGAAGCGCGTTGCAGCGCCCAAGCACTGGATGCTGGACAAACTCACTGGGGTCTTTGTAAGTGAAGTCACGCACTTTCTCGCGATTTTTCAAATTATACGTTATACTCCAAAGACCAGCGTAGACCTTTATTTTCTCATTATTTCTCAGGCTCCTCGTCCATCTACCGGTCCCCACAAACTGAGGGAGTGTCTGCCCCTCATTATCTTCTTGAGGAACCGACTGAAGTACGCCCTGACAGGGGATGAGGTGAAGAAAATCTGCATGCAGAGGTTCATCAAGATCGACGGAAAAGTCCGCACCGATATCACTTATCCTGCTGGGTTCATGGGTGAGTTTTGCCGTTATAGTTGGTTTGAAGTTAGGTGCACATGTTAAGTGAAGATCTGGCAGGAGCAGTGATGAATTTGTGGGTTTGATCATCAATGAGCTGATATAACTCAACTCAATCCTCTAAGAAGTTCTGAGCTCCACCTCAGAGGTCTCCTCTGCATCTTAAAGTCTGCTCATTTTATGAGTGGAGGTGTTAAAAGTAAAAAAAAAATGTTTTTTTCCTTGCAGAGGTACACTCACTGCTGACATTAGTTTTATCACTGTCTATTTAAGAGTTTATGAGAGATTATTGTGGAAATTTGAAAGGGCTGGCTGGTGAGGGTACATTTGGTTCAGGGGTGTCTGATCCTGGTCCTTGAGAGCTGCTGTTCAGCGTGTTTTAGTTGTTTTTCTGCTCCAGTGGTTGAATCACCTAATAAACTGCTCATAAAACTAAAGGAGCTGGTTAGAGTCAGGTGTGCTGGAGCAGAGAATGTTCTGAAACAGGGGTATTCAATTCCTGCCCGGGAGGTCCGGTATCCAGCACATTTTAGTTTTAACTCTGTTTCAGCACCCCTGATTTCAATAAGCAGGTGATCCGGCTTTCGGCAAAGTCTGATGAGCTGTTGCACAGGTGAATCAAGTGTGTTGAATCAGAGAAACCACTAAAACATGCTGGATACTGGACCTCCAGGACTGGAATTGAATACCCCTAATCTAAAACATGCTGGATGGTGGTCCTCTGAGACCAAGGTTAAGCACCCCTGATTTAGGCCTAGTCCACACGTAGCCGGGGTTTTTTAAAAACGAATATCCGCCCCTCCAAAAACTTGCATCCACACCACCGCATTTTAAAAACAAACTGTCCACACGTACCCGGATAAATACGTTGTTAAGGACATGCCAGACCTGTAGGCGGCAGTACTTCCCCCGTTCTTAACCTCGTCCTTCGTCTGTGGTCTTCCGCAAGGAGCAGTAATTCCACTTGCAAAAACAAACAAGCAGAAAGCGCTTGGACAATTGATGGATCGGGTAGTGACAGAGCGCAGCTCTGAGGGCTTCCATGATGTCTGCTAGTGTAAACACAGGTCGCACACGTGATGTCAGCATTTTTTTGTCGCGGAAAGTGACGCTGCGGACCTTAAAACTCCAGTTTTGTCTGTCCACACGCAGACACCCAAAACGAAGAAAACGCAGATCTTCACTTCGGCCGGAGTTTTTAAAAAGATCCGTTTTCGTGTGAAAAAACTCAGTTTTCGTGTGGATGACAGGCCAAAACGTAGAAAAATATCTACGCTTTGGCAGATCCCCGGCTACGTGTGGACAGGGCCTGAGTTTCAGCACTGAAAAGATCTCACTCATTTTAGCTGTTTCTGTATAAACTACAAGAAGTTACCATCCTAATGGTTTTGACTATGGATGCTCCGATCACATGATCATAACTCTGGCCCAATCACGAGAGACAGCTGACAAAGGTACCTGAACAGAACTTGTTGTTAGACGGACACAAAAACAACTGGCTCCTAAGTCTACTGCGGTACCTAAGCTGTCCGCGGCAGCTACAGGTGCTGTGTAGGAGAAACCTAAGGAAAGAAAGGAAAAGGATCTTTAATAAAGCACCTCAAGATACAAATGACACGGCGCTTCACAAGAACAAAAAATAATAGATTTAACTTTGCTGTGGTGTTGATGGCTGTGTGCCTGCCCTGTCACAGGAACACACGCTGCCCAATAAAGCTGCATTTTGACGGTAAGCTAACTTGAAATATGAGTAATGCCACTACTAGATATATTGTAACATTAACAAGTTTTTTATTAGTGAACTTAATAAACAAGTGAAACAAAGAACAACTCAGATGTTTTTCTTTTACTTTAATGCTTTGCTGGAAAGTACTTGATCTAGACTATCGATACTCAAAATCCCATTACTCAGATTAGAAGCAAAAACAATCAGAATTTCCCTAGTTTTGACTGAAAATATGTCAAATTAATTTAAAATAGTTGTGTAAGACTAACTAATTGGTTGTGTAAAGCAGGGCTGCACGGTATGGAAAAATTGTGATGACAAAATTGTTTAGTTATTCCAGATTTTCAGCTATTGGGTCACTGCAACCCTAATGGTAACCCAAGTGTGGACACGAGTCTGTTGCATTAGCACACAGGCGCATTTGATTTGAAACAATGATTTAATGTGACTAGCAGGTTATGTGATGTAGAAAGGCTTGTAAAAAAACATGAGTCCATCAGTCCTGTATTAGGGATGGACCTCAGCACCAGGCGTGCTCATTCCTGGTCCTGGAGGGCCGGTATCCTGCATGTTTTAGCTGTTTCCCTGCTCCAGCGCACCTGATTTTAGTCCGCCGGTTTCTGCAGAGCTTGATGAGCTGCTGAATGGGTAAATCGGCTACTGAGTCGTGGGTGTTGGAGCAGACAAGGAAAAAACATGCTGTATCCCAGCCCACCAGGAGCAGGATTGGTCCATTTGTGATAGAAAACCCATGAGTGTGTGTGTCCTGCAGGATATGAGCTCTTGTTTCTGTGAACAGAGGCTGTCAAACCGTGGGAAACACTACGTGATTGTTGGTTTGTATAAATGTGTTTGAATGAGATACATGGTTGGGTGGTTGATGAGGTCGTATCAACTGTTAGTCAGGTAAAGTGGGTAGACGAGCGTCTCAGTGCTGGCAGATTAGAACCACTTATGTAGTGTGGGTCCTTATCTGCTGGTCAGTATGTTTAGTATCATTTCCTGTGCTGAGGTGTTGGAGTTTGGGGTTGATGAAGTTATGAAAAGAATATTTTGCAAGTGATCTAAGAGACCCTGTCTTCATCTGATCCACCGCATTAACACCTTACCTGAACGTGTGGACACTGTCCTGTAAGCTTGGGCGGTATCTAAAATTTAATACCGTCTCGCCTCGGCCACATTCTAGCACAGTGTACGTTTTTACCGGCACTAATGCGTCTTTTGCAGATACTTTTTTGCACAAATGACCTCATCTGTGGTTTGGTGACTCTATCGTTTGCTTTGAACCCGAAATACTCCCAAACTGCAGAAGTTTTGTTCTTTTTAGACGCCTAGTCAGCTGGTGCACGAGCTGCCACTTTTCTCCCATCACACTCTGCGGTCACGTGATGACATCACCTTTATAATCTTTATGGAACGTCTCCAAAAGTTGGACAAAACATTTAAACAATTTAGGTAAAACAGAAAATTCAACCATGCATCAGTTTTATGCATAAAATTACTTTTATTCATTTTTGTATTTTTAATCTTTGTCTATGTGTGCTGGATTTTTTTTATGACTGTACTGGAACTGAGACCATTGCTATTTTGTAACACCGGCTGTGTACAGTGTTACAGTAATACCGCCAAGCCTACCGTCCAGCTGTGAGTCTGTTTAGGGACAGCTGTTGTTGTCTCCGGTAACCTGCAGACCTCAGTAAATAGGTGCTTTGGAACAGTTTAAGATTCAGAAGTTGCTGTTTTTTTGTGTGAGATCAGAGTAGCATCTATATTATTTCTCAGTTGGTGCTAATTTAACATGATTGTTTCTGTTCCTAGACGTCATCAGCATCGAGAAGACTGGCGAGCACTTCCGTCTGATTTATGATGTGAAGGGACGTTTTACCGTCCACCGCATCACCGCCGAGGAGGCCAAGGTACGGGAGCGTCTTTGATGGTGTCTTTATGCTTTAAAGCCAGTGTGAAATGTTTTTACTTTTGTACTAATTCTGTGTACCACATTCACACTCCTGCCTCTTTTCATTAATATTTCTCACCAAAGTCTATTCTAAATATTCCTAATTGCTTGAAATTTGAAATTTTCATATGCATAATGGGTCAGGTTTCAGTCACTCTTTATGAGAATCAGTTTTCAGACAAGAGGGAAATTCATCTCGTTCACAAACTCCGTTGTAGCGTGTCGCACGTTGTCATTGGAGCAGTCACAGTTGAGCTTAGTTGTCACCTTAATCACGCCTGAGTCTGCAGATATGTTTCATTGTGCTCTTGGACACATGCTTATGTTTACTCAGGTCTGTGTTTGTAATGTTGTTTTGATTTAAACCCTCACATGTGTTTTTGAGCCCTGGTTGTTACGCAGAACGTAGCAGCTGTTTAGATCAGGACCAGTTAGATGCTAATGGTTTCTGTGGACCCCTTCTACAGTACAAGCTGTGCAAGGTGAAGAAAATCCTCATCGGCACCAAAGGCATCCCCCACCTGGTGACCCACGACGCCCGCACCATCCGCTATCCTGACCCCCTCATCAAGGTCAATGACACAGTCCGCATTGACCTGGAAACTGGCAAGATCACAGACTTTATCAAGTTTGATACTGGTACGCTCCGCTCCTCCCAGTGTCCCTAATAGTTCCCACACACACGGCTAAATGTGTCTGAGCTGCCCCTTGTCTTCTCCCACAGGTAACCTGTGCATGGTGACTGGTGGTGCTAACTTGGGACGTATCGGCGTGATCACCAACAGGGAGCGCCACCCTGGCTCTTTTGACGTGGTGCACGTCAAGGACAGCACGGGGAACAGCTTTGCCACCAGGTTGTCCAACATCTTCGTCATTGGCAAGGTGAGGAGTGGGTTTGTTCTGGTCGCTGTAGACCGAAGGGTTGAGAGTGAGTTTGGAGCCATGATGATCACTTATGGGTTTGATCTGTGATGAAACTAAACCTCTGAATCCTCTAAGAAGTTCTGAGCTCCTCGCTGCTGCTTTGTTCTAACCCCCTGAACAAACGGCACCATCCCATAATAATGTCAGTCTTGGTTATGCAGAGTAAGCATTCCTACTGAACCTACTCATAAGTGAACTGAGTTCAGTTAAACCCAGCAGACTGACTTGTGTCAGATGTTGCAGCAATCCTCATACTAAGCAAGCATGTACCGACAGTGGAGAGGAAAACTCCCTTTTAACAGGAAGAATAATGTGCTGCACAATACATTGCAAATGTATCATCATCACGATGTCATCATGCACAGTACACACATCGCAAAAAACCCACAATGAGTGGTCAGCTCAAATGTTTGCTAGTTTTTGACAAATCAAATGGAGCTCTACCAATTTGGTCAATCGGGTGGGTTTTTATAGGTTGATGCCCATCCTCTAGGTAGATGGCACTTAAAGGTGGAATATGGAACATTTTAATAAAAACAGCTATATTTAAATAAAATACCTCCATGGTTCCACCGTTGCACTAAATAGTCTGCTTGGCAAGGCGAGGCTGGGACTGTGTAAAATTGCAGACTTGACAAGTCAAGCAACTGATTCAGAGCCCAAAAGATGTTCTAACAGTAAAGGTTGTTGTAAAATAAACTCATTAATAGATATTAGTCCCTATCCTGTACGATTAGTCGCTGGACATGATGCTGGCTGGTCACGTCACACGTCGGCAATGAACCAAGTCCCGGCAGCTGGAAAATGTTTTCTATTGTTGCGACTACCAGGACGTAGTCGCAACAATAGAAAACAAAAGACACTAGATGTCACCAGAGTGTCCGTGTTCCATATTCAACCTTTAATTTAAATGGTTAGCAAACACCGAGTTACCTTCGCTCTGCTGATTCTGCTTTCCCTGGATCCACTGAAAGCCCACCTTTTCCCTTTCCTCACATCTTTTGATCACAATTTTTGCTTTTCCTATTTTTATTTATTTTTTAGTTTCTTTGTTATTGATTTTATTCTTGAGTTAAGTATTTGTTTATTTATTGCAAGTCATATGGTCATCACAATATTAATAACTGGTATCGCGCATCGCAGGTTTTTCTAATATCATGCAGTCCTAGAAGATACCTCCAACAGAAAAATCAGTGGGATTATTTTATTTTTATTATTAAACTCAATGTTTTTGATAAGGTGACATTTTACTCTTGACTCTAACCCTGAGGTTTGTCCTGTTTCAGGGCAACAAGCCGTGGGTGTCCATGCCCAGAGGAAAGGGAATCCGTCTGACCATCGCTGAGGAGAGAGACAAGAGGCTGGCCGCCAAACAGGGCAGCAGCTAAACTGGCCACAAAACACCCAGCCTGACCTGTGGTTTTCAAATAAAATGTTATTTACTAAAGATGTCAATGTGGTTTATTGCTCTGGAGAATTCCTAAAGATGACTTAAAAAGCCTCAAATTATCAACATGAGACTCGTTAAGTCAGGCCACTTAATTTTAACACGGATGTGGCTGTAAGAAAATACTTGATCGTTTCTCCTGTTCTGGACATATGCAGCCAGACCTGAAAGAATCCTGCTTCCATTTCTATAGCGCCACATGGTGTCTCAAGAAATTTAACAGACCCGACAAGAAGGGTAGTCATATATTAACGAGGGCTGTTTTATAGTTTTACTGTCCTCCATTTTTACAAATTCCATCTGTGCCATGATTTCTTTCCTGCACCCTCTTCCTTTGTTTACCACATCCTGACAGGTTTCCATATACCGGTAGTTTCTTCCTTACATTAACTCTTGGCTCTATATTTTACTTCATCCCCCCATCGTGTCTGTCCTGACTTACGTACCCGTCCATATGGTGACTGCTGGGTTGCAGCCTGCTATGTCGCTGCAGAAACCTGGCTTTTCAAACACCACCTTAGTGTGTCTTTCCTGGCTCTGTAACTTGCTCTGTGTGTGTGTGTGTGTGTCAGGTTGCTTGTATACAAGTATGAGAGAGACCGCGCACACACACTTGACTGATTTCATTCTACACCTACACCCCGGCTCATGACAACACCCAGCAGGACGGTGTGCGCTGGAGTTGGAGGCAAGACTCATTCCCACAACCTTCTCTCTGAGCTGCAGGACAAAGCTGAAAACATCCATTTTTGTGAGAAAACAAACCGTTTTCGTTACTATATTCTGTTTGAATCACTCACGGACAGCACAAATACCAGCTACAATAGAGATTGGTTGTTTCAGCAGTGGGATTTTGGGTAGTGAAGCTAAAACCCATCAGTAGCTTGGTGAACTAGACCCAAGTTCTTGCTTTGCAAAGTTAAGTGAGATTTATTTAGTCTGGCTTGCCAGGCTACTATCAGGGCCAATTGTAGGCAAAGGTTGGGTTTTAGCTAAATGCGTGTATGCAACCATGATGATGGCACCATCGATAGATTGCAGCCTGTGACCTTTCTATGTAAGCACATTCTTATGCATGTGTCATTTTTTATTTGCAGAGTACACCTTTATACCGCCTGTTAAATAAATGCATGCTAGGTTGATTTGAGACCAAGTTGTCTAGATGTGAGTAATTGTGCAGGGGGGTGGGGTCCGTGGTAGGTGAGTGCCACTCTGCTTATGACAATAAGTTTACACCCCACTTTGAGGTCACAATATCAAGAAATGCAAGACCAAGCGTCCCATGCTTTTGTTCTTTTTAAACAAAAAAACAGTTTTGTTTACCTGTTTTGTAGCTACAGTTTCGCCGACGGCAGGCAGGCTGACGCGAAAGCATGGAATTAGAACCACAACACAGCAAGAACACACCTAAGATGTTCAAAGACCAAGCGTGATTTCAATAGATGTTGTGATAAGCAAGGAGAAAGACAGCACCGTATAACAAAAGGGTCAGTGGTTTATTTACTGTCCTGTTTACCTTGGCTACAGAGCTGTCACAGCTAATGGCATTTTTTTCTTACAAGTTAAGTCCGTGTCCCCAACCCTGGTCCTCAGGGCACAGTGAGGACATCAAGTGCTGCAGATGCCTGTTAATCCCTCATTCATTTAAGTCAGGTATGTGGCAGCAGGGAAACACATGGTGTTTAAAAGGGCAACATGGAAAATATGCAGGACAGTGGTGGGAAGCTCAGAGTTAAACAGCTAGAACTCTGTGGATGACTTTTATTTTGAAAGTTTGTAGATGTTTTACAATTCTTTTGTATTTAACGTCCAAGAGCTTTCCGCTTTCTAGCGTAGTAATACATCCCTACGCCCTACATGGAAACACCTGTCCACTGTAAAAGTAGCTAATTGCTACATATGCTTCGTGGACATTACGAGATGACTACATTTAAGCGCCTCATGGTTTTTATCGAGTATTTGCTGTTTATCAGACACAGTTCAGCCTTTGACTCATCCATGCTTCATTTCAGCTTTGGTTTTGTTACCCAGATATTTTTGCGATACGTTGCTGGTCATTTAAGTGATGACATGATTTTAAAAAGGGGCAGGATCATTTTAAAATTCATTTATTGATGTGTATACAAATAAAAGAATGTAATTAGAATTCAGCTGTAAAATGAACGTTGGCATGTTAGTTGCTACTTCCAGGTTAAATAAGAAAATAAAACTTTTCAGGATTTGTGGTTTCTCGGAAACCCAAACCTGCCAGCTATGTCCCCAATAATAATAAAAACAACAAAGAGGACCAGCTCCTACAAACAAACAAAACATATGCACACGCTCATACATGCATGAACCCCGTCTTTGAACATTTGAAATCTGAGACTCGCAGTGGTGCAGTGCTGCCCGACATCCCCTTGTGAGCAGAGCAACGATCACAGCTGAGACACACACACACACAACTGCTTTGATGTGTCTCTGGCTTCACGTGAAGAAAAATAACAGCAACATGAGCAGCAAAGGAAAGAAACCTCAGAAATTTGTTCAAATGTTGAAAAATCATCATCTTCCTCCGCTTATCCGGGTCTCGGGGGCAGCATCCCAACTAGGGAGCTCCAGACCATCCTCTCCCCGGCCACCTCCACCAGTTCCTCCGGCAGGACCCCAAGGCGTTCCCGGACCAGATTGGAGATGTAACCTCTCCAACGTGTCCTGGGTCGACCCGGGGGCCTCCTGCCGGCAGGACATGCCCGAAACACCTCCCCAGGGAGGCGTCCAGGAGGCATCCTGACCAGATGCCCAAACCACCTCAACTGACTCCTTTCGATCCGGAGGAGCAGCGGTTCTACTCCGAGTCCCTCCCGAATGTCCGAGCACCTCACCCTATCTCTAAGGCTGAGCCCGGCCACCCTACGGAGGAAACTCATTTCAGCCGCTTGTATCCGCGATCTTGTTCTTTCGGTCATTACCCAAAGCTCATGACCATAGGTGAGGATTGGGACGTAGATCGACCGGTAAATCGAGAGCCCGGCTTTCTGGCTCAGCTCCCTCTTCACCACGACAGATCGGCTCATCGTCCGCATCACTGCAGATGCTGAACCAATGCCCGATCTCCTGATCCCTCCTACCCTCACTTGTGAACAAGACCTCGAGATACTTAAACTCCTCCACTTGAGGTAGGACCTCTCCCCCGACCCGGAGTTGGCAAGCCACCTTTTTCCAGTCGAAAACCATGGTCTCAGATTTGGAGGTGCTGATCCTCATCTCAGCCGCTTCACACTCGGCCGCGAACCTACCCAGCAAGAGCTGAAGGTCAGAGCTGGATGAGGTTATAAATAATAATGTGGCAAGGTGGAGAAGAGAGGGCCCAGGCGGGATTCGATCCCCAGACTCCCGGGTGAGAGTTATACGCTCTAACCAGTCAGCCAAAGGGACATCCCCTTGGCCAAGTAGCCAGGGCGCATGATCAATCGGGACATTGTGACAGGACACTCACACTGTCACATCAACTTGCGGAAACTTAGTCAATGAAATACATTTAGACAACTGAATGTTTAGAGTCCATTGCTTAATTCACCCTAACAAGTGTTTAAAATAACTTTTTAGAAATTGTGTAAAGTCAATTTGTACACAAAGCACTAATGGGTACGGTCTATTTAAGAAAACTCAGACACGTATTTAGTCCTTGTTAAAATAGGGTAACTTAATATTTGGAGAAAGTTAGTGGCTAGGGGTTGCATGACTTAATTTTTTTAAAAGTCGACCGTCAAGTAATGAAAATCGAGTCGACTTCGACTAGTCGTTGATGACGTCACACCTGAAACTGCTAAAACTGATGTAGCGTTGTGGTCAGGGACGAAATTTTGATTTCAGAAGTGGGGGGGACACAGTAGGCTTGTGCGGATTTGGGGTGGGGGGTGTTATGTAAAGACCCCTTGACACGTCATGTGCCCATCTCAATAATTTTTCCATCCTCTATATATATATATATATATATATATATATATATATATATATATATATATATATATATATACATATATATATATATCAAAGTAAAAAAATTGTACAACTCTATTATTATTATTATTTATTGTCATTATTGAAGTGCAGTTTTGGCTGTTGACAATGGACAGGCTATTGTATTTATTGTTTTGGGTCTTTTTTTATTGTTTTTGGTGCAACATTTTCTAACAGGGAGTGAGATTCCTTTTTTATTAAATTTTTGTTTGTTATTTTTATTCATTTAGAAGTTCTGGTTCTGGACATTTCAATGTTAAATGAAGGTTTATTTGTTGCATTTTAAAGGGTGTACTTGCATTATTATGATATATTAACATTATATTAGTGGTTATTTTGGTCTAGATAATGTTGACAATGATATCGTTTATCATCAACAATTTGTTGGACAAAATATCGTCCAGCAAAATGTGTTACTTTCCCAGGCCTAGTCAAAAGTATAAAAATTATTTATACATAAACGGTCCCTCCTGAGATCTGGCTGTTTGTTCATTTGCTGTGTTAGAGGACATGCTGAACTAATGTTTTACACATGATCATCACCCTAACATTTGAGTGTATAAAAACATATTAAATATTTTTTTTCCCTTAAAAGTGTTTAAACAGTTGATGCATTTCAACACACAAAAAATTAATGGAAAAAATAAGATAAATCTAATGAAAAGTGTACATCTTTGACATTAAGCTTAAAAAATCTGTTGACGATGATGATACTGTTCATTTTTCAGAGCTTTTTAATGTGAACATATACATTGCAATAGATAAGTTTACAATAAAGTTAAATGATAAAAGTTTTGAAGTTACACTTCTACTACTACAACTACTACTAGTAATAATAATTATGATGATAATAGTAATAATAAAAAAAATAATTATAATACGAATAAATTGTGTCTGAGGAGTCAGTTATGTGGAGGAGATGAGTTTGTAAAAGTTAGTTTTGAGTATGTGTGTGAAGGAGGAGGTGAGTCTGGGCTTAATGCAGGTCTGTCACATGT